AGACATAGGATTCTGCCTCATCAATTCTGTCATCATCCAAGGAGTCAGTGGAGGACACAGAGAGCTGCTTCCTAGGCCGTATTCTTTCCCTGGCACGTTCCTGCCTCCTCTCCACCCCATCCACAAGTGGGGCTCCGTCTATGCTGTTGTTGCTTCCAGCTGAGCTGGTGCTGCAGGTGCGGTACCGGCTCCGCCGCTTGTCGGAGCGGGAATACCGCTTGGTAGAGCCTAACTTCCCCTGCAGCACCTCATCACCTGCTCTCCTCGTCCTGTCGCTTCGCTCTGTTCGTCTCCCTTTATCTCCCCTGGAGGTTTTTACTCCTTCCCCTGCGTGGCTTCCCTCTCTATCCTCCCTGCTCGATTTCATTTTCCTGTTGTTGTCTTTTCCAGTGCTTTTCTCAGTCTCTTCATCTCTCTCCACTTTGAGCTGCTCCATCTTACTGGTGACTTCCTCAGTAGATGACCGTGGGGACAGTTCTTTGGCAGCTGAATGCAGGCGCTTCCCAGGCTGGTAGATCTGCTGGTCTGGTTTCCTGGTTCTCCTGGGGGTCTTGGGACACCATTCATCCTGCTTGGACAGATTCTCCTGGCTCTGCAGACCACCTCTGGTCTCTGTCTCTTCCTTTTCCTGAGAAGGACCATTCTGCTTGGGGCCGTCGCTTTTGCTGGGATCCTCCATGGCTGGAGCACCTCCTCCCACAGAGCCCTTGTCCTCAGTGCTCTCCTCCTTGTCCTCCTCAGATCTGCTCCTCTCCTTCTCTGAGGCCTCGTGCTTTGGTGGCACCAGCTTGCTCCTCAGCCGGGAGAGGCCAGGCTTGTAAATCTCCTGGTCTGGGCGTCTGTTGTCTTTGCGATGCCTTGGCTCCTTCACCTCCTTCATGTTTTCTGGGGAAAAACAGACAGAAGAAAGTTATTCCCACCCCAGACAAGCCATGGGCCAACAAAACCATGCAAATATTTAAGGAAAAATATGCAAAAAGCCTACCATCCTCAAGGCAGGTCTAAGAGAACAAAATCTATGCAAAGATTTACACGAAATCAGAGTAAAAGTACAAAATGAAGAAGACTAAAAAAGCTGACCAAACCCTTGGCCTGATTCACTTACAAAACACATCCTGCAACAGGTTTTGCCTCGAAGCACCAGCAAGGGACAGGAAAAGCACAACACAAGACTTAGGCTCAAATACAAGTACCAAGAACAAAGTTTTCATGTTAGAGGTTTCAGCAGTGCTTGTCTGCCTGCTGCTGGCACAGGAGCAGCTGTCTCCAGCAGCCCCTGCTCTGCCAACAGACCGCTCGAAGACGCGTTTCCCCTTCCTCACCCACCACCCGGTAACGTTCCTCTCCTCCTGCCCTAACTGTACCACAGAAAACTCATTACACAGCCCAGCCCGGACCACGCACGGTTAACCGATTCACCA